GAATAGAAGCCAGTATAACACGCCTTTAAACTTGTATGGAGAGTAATCAATGTGAGGATAATATGCTATAGTAACCTTAAGTACGACTTCAGGACAAAGCGAATTTCTTTCAAATAAGTGTTTTCACGGCTTAGCACAACTCCACTGCAGTTATATCACCTTTACAGAAGGTTGAATGTGAAGGAACTTACACCTATTTATTCGTTTCGAATACTTTTAAATTTTCAGTAAGTTAAATTCGAATCAAAGTGAATTCAAGTACAACAACACTTGTACAAATATTCAAGGCACTCAAATATTCGTACAACCCTAATAAAAAGATTACACTGTAGTAAAACCGAAAGGCGGTGAGTTGGAACTTGATTACAGTGGGCAGCGCACAAAATGAAAACACACTATAGAAGGAGACAGGACAAGCGCTGGTCTCTTTTTTGAAGGGTGGGGTTTCGTCTCACCTCGCCAGCCATTGCAGTGATTGCAGGTGCACACCTCCTTTTGATCGGACCTCAATGATCGGTCACCATCATAATCAATGTACACGTGAGATTGCTGAGGCTTACCACATCGCAAAGGATGTTGGAAATTGCATTAGCCAGCCATCTATTGCCTTATCTGAACAAAAAATTTGTTTCATCGATCAGATGTAATGTTGCGCGGCACATGATCTTTTGTGTGTGTGTGTTTGTGTGTGTGTGTGTACATACACATATTACAAGGAAGCAAGAGCGGCGCTCAGGCACTAGCATGAGCTCTGCTAGCTCGAAGCGGAAAAGAAAGAAGTCAGAATAAGAACAGCCGGCCTGCAGCTAGGGTGCTGTTTTTTGTCAGTCTCATTCGTTACAATGGCACAGTACGACAACTGAACCTTAAGGCAGAAGTCACAGTCCCAACAACAGCAGCAAAATGCCGCTGGATGCCGTCGCTTCACAAAGTCTTACCGAAAAGGTACCGACAAACAACACGCTCTTCCACAGTCTCTTTATACTTGACCATCGCATTGGCCAGACGCACTTTCAACCTTTGCAGCCAAAAGTGAACAACGTGCCTTTGCAAAAGCCTCCAGAAAGAAAGAATGGGACGCTGTCACTACGACTTGCCAGCCACCAAGAAAACTTTACTCTGAAGTACATATGCAAAAGTAGCCAAGCAGCTGGTGTGTCTCAGCAGGAAGTAAGCCAAAAGCATGAGAGAGAGGAAGCTGGAAAGGGTAGTAGTATCTGTCCTGCTCCATTGTAATGATATAACGTGTGGTTCTTAATGTATGTATGATTGGGAACACGATCCGTCCCAATAAACAACAAGGCTGCTTGCAGGTTTAGGAATAATAAGACTTCATAAAAACATGAAACTCGCACACTAACGCACAGAGAAAACAGAAAACCCAACGGGAAAACAATGTGAACTAATAGCAGTCTCTAATGAGCTTTGATAAAAAGTCAGTCCTAGTCAACACAGGCTCACCCGTACTGAAGTCGAACGTGCCTGGCAATGAGAGAAGACGTGCGATGCTGGTAGCATTGGAGAGGCCAGTGGCGTCTTCAAAAGGCTGTCAAAGAGCGGGCGTTTTGCCGAATGGAGCGTCGGAGGCAGAGGACGTCAGCGGCCACGCGAAGCCCGCAGCTTCAACTCCTGAATTCTGTGCTAGAGCCTTGACACTCAGGCCCGGTCCCCCGACTCCATCTAACACTCAGTACTTTCTCCTCTTCTTTTTTTTTTTTTTCTTTCCCCACAAAACTTGAAACTCAGCACGTGCGCACATCTCCGCACACGCAACAGCGACTTCGTCGTCGTCTTCTAGTGCGCACATCACATCAGGGCACTACATCTTTTTCAGACGCACATAACAACCACCTGTGCTTGTGTTTGCGACATAACAGGCCCGCCACTTTAGGAACGCTTCCTAAGCCATGGCGTCTGGAAGCATGCTGCAGCAGGGAGCCAGTTCAGGGATGGCGTACAGGCCTCCTTGGTAACCGCTGACCTGCTGGTGCTACAAGCACCGTCCGGGGACGGCATTCAGGCCTCCTCGATGACTTGACAGTATTATACCAACACTTCTAATCATCGCATTCACCATGCTTCTATGATTTGGAACATCGCCGCCCTCATCGCTGCGACAACAGAATCATCCTCAGCCGCTGCCAATGGTTCCCCCGGTGGCTCCTTCGAAGGTGCTATGAAGATCATCTGCGAGGCCAACAACACTTGTATCAGCAACTGGCACCTTTGAACTAAGGAGTCTTAATGCCCATCGTGAGTACCGGGGTACCCCGTAAGTACCCCGTAATCTTCGCAGTCATCGCTCCTGGCTCCTTAGGCTCCTCGTGTGCCCTACCTACGAATGTCATGCGGGCCACATCCTTGCTTGCCCAGGAGCTAGATCGTTTCGCTGTGTGTACTACCAGGTCTCTGTACTCGGCACAACCATCTACAGTTGCATCGGAACTGCCACAGTTTTGAGGGTTCTAAGACAATGCTACTCAGCGAGTCGAAACGGTGAATGCTCTTGACGCCCACTATGCCTGGTCAGAGTGTCGAAAATGGCTGGTGGCCATCGACCACTTTGGCGATGCTGCTAAAGCCTGGCACAACTACGAAGGCATGCAGCAACAGTCATGGCTTCAATGGTGTACCAGACTGACTACTGTCTTTCAGTCACTTTCGCAAGGCAGTGCTGCCCTCACTGCCGACTCAAGTTGTCCACCGGGCACCTGAATTGGCACCTCGGCTGTCAATCACCCCACCTTCTCTCGATGAACCAGAGTGTGAAGGGTGCGGCACAGTTGTGCCCTTTACCAACGCGCCCATTCCCAGGAATCGAGTTCATGTGAGATGTGAGCTCGATGGCTCATCGCTGCCTTCCAGCCCAGCGGCAGACAATAGCGCCACCTTCAAGACTCAGCACTTAGCAAAGCCACCTCCAAACTCGACACCACATGGGCATGTGGAGTCATCGGCCCCTGTACTGCCAGAAGAGCCGCAGCCATTCCTTTTCTTGCTCTCTGATGAAGATCATGAGGGGCATAACCTCGGCGCGGAAGATACCCGCACCAGCCACACCAATGAAGGCTTCTTCAGAATGTCCCTGGGCAAATATGACTGGTCACTAGCTGTATTCTCCGCCCCAGATGGAAGAAGCTATGTTGGCATTTCCTACACCAGACAAGACCTACAAGCCACAGCAGTTGGCGAGGCCACTTCCAAGCTCACCAGTGCTTGAGCATATGAAAGGGCCAGATCTGTACCTGACATGCTCAGGCATTCTACTGGCCCCTTGAAGACAATACCACAACTATTAGACCTTTTACACATGTCCCTACTACGCAGCCCTGAAACAATGAATGCACCTTCCTCAGCAGCGCCATACATTACGGCTTGCTCGCGTCATGGCAGTGCATCGACATGAAGTGCATGCACTTCTTCAAAACTGCGGAGACACGTCCGACTATTGACGCACCCTCCTGAGTCACCATCAGCAGTTACATCTGCCAGATGCCAGCGTGGCCAAGACCAGCAGCCACTACGCCACAGTCAATGGCAGCCACATGAGGCTTCGACACCTCAACACGACCTGTCGTGGCATGCCAGAGAGACCACCCAGGCACAGCCAGTATCGACTGACAAAGACATTGTTGTCACATCATCAGACCAACTCGTTGCGTGGCCCAGATAGACTAGCACGCAACAGTCAATGCGGCCCTCCTGAAGCAATTGTCCAACTGCTACTATTCAAAGTTGCTTCGTCAATGCGGCCCTCCTGAAGCAATTGTCCAACTGCTACTATTCAAAGTTGCTTCAACTTCCTTGAAGCTCAAAAAATGGCATCTGCACTGGCCTTGTTTCAATTCTCAAAGGAACTGTCTACCATCCTTTACTGTTTTTTCCATTTTGTGTTGCAATAAAGAGCATACCATCTGAAGTGTCCAACCTTGCAGCTGTTTTCATAGAATGTGTAAAAAAATTTTTTAAACAGAAATTTTCTATGTACGTTCCGTCTTCTTCCATCGATCGGATGAACAACATTGGTTGATGAAGGTGATGACAATTGTACTGCTGGCGAAAGTCCAAAACTGAAATCACACGGGGTTTTTTCAGGCTATATCAACTTTTGCTTAATATTAAAATGAGTACATTGGTGGTCGTTTAAAGCATGCAGGCATTTTTCGTTGTTCTTATGAGTGGCAGCAGACGCAGCGCTCACGTTTCTCTGCCGTTTGCCAGCAGGCATGCAGGCAAGCGAACACACCAGTGGCAGCGCCACTGGGTGCCTCTTTCAATGTGCAAGAAGAAAATTAAAAACTACTTTGGCACAACCTAAAGCTGCCTAAGTGCGTAAACGGAATTTCAAATGACAGATGTTTGTTTTTAAGCAAAATCAGTCTACCTGCGTAGATTTCTTGTCCGGCCAATATATTGACCTACATTGCTGTTGGGTGACGCTAGTGGGCAATCTTAGTCAGCTACCATTATCAAATTTTATTTATAATTCATTTTTTATGATACAAAAGCATGCCCATTGCCACCAATATGATGAACGATCTCATTTTCGCCACAATCCGAAAAATTTTTCCGAGCGGCAGACAGTCTTTAACAAAATATTGTTCAGGTTAGCAAGATTATGAAAAATATGCCCATTTTTCTACATAATATGTGATAAATACTACTCAGTTGATTCGCAATCATTCCACCAAGATTATTGTTTGCTTCAAATTTGCTTCGAATCAAAAATTCGCTATTCACACAAGCCTAGCGTATGCAAATGAAATGGTTGACGTGACAGACTTGAAGGCCTTGCTACAATTAACCCAATTTACAGCTGCGACAGAGACGCAAGTGGTGAAGAGCTCAGTGGAAGAATCGACAATAGCTGGCATGATGCATGCGTTAAAAATGGCAGGCAAAAAGCCTGCATACCTGCTAAGCTTCCCTGGTCACCTGTGGTTTTCCCACTGCAGCTCTGTAATTCAAGGAACCCTTAAGACAATCGAAGGCATACGTACGTTGCCAGTGTCTTCATCTTGAGTTCAGCTGCGCCAGCAACACTGAAACAGACCAGAAGCAGAGTGTAACCTAGAAATGCAATCACATCTGAAACAAGTCAGTGCACCCGTCGTTTGCATTGCTTCCCTCCAAGGTAACCGGTGACGATTAGGTAAGTGGACCCTGCAAAGATTTTCATCAAATTGTGTTCCTAACTGATTGCCTTACTAAGCACAGCATCATCTTCATGCTGTAATGTGGCGCTAGCATTCATGCCCCTGCACAAGAGCACAAGAAGCTGGTTCCCACAAGATGCCACCACTGCCACGTACAACCATTTGCTCGACGAACCTCACATATTTGAATGGCTCACCAATAGCAGCTGCATTTCAGCTAAGGAGGATGTTAAAATAGCCACGTCAACAAAAGCACCTGCTGCTTCACTTCATTTTCAAGTGATCTACTAGCTGAGCAACGTTTCAATTATGTCCAATGCTAAAACAAAAATGAGAATTCATTAGAAATTGTTATGGTATCCAATCAAGTCGCCTATTTGTCCATAAATTTAGTAGTAGTAGTAGTAGTAATAGTAGTGGTAGTAGTAGTAGTAGCAGCAGCAGTAGTAGTAATAGTAGTAGTAGTAGTAGTAGTAGTAGTAGTAGTAGTAGTAGTAGTAGTAGTAGTAGTAGTAGTAGTAGTAGTAATAGTAGTAGTAGTAATCTTATTCTATTTCTTGAGATGGCAAAAGGCATTTCATACGCCTGACCACAACAGGACTAGAAGAGTGGCATGTGCACACTCTTTTACGGCCTGCGCACCTACTGAGAGAATAATAGGGCGGATTCTTCACTGCTCGTTGCAAGTGAGGGCACTTCAAGACAACCCACCACCCGCTCCCTCCTCTATTTTCTTAATCAACGGCTCACTTATGACCAGCATTTGAATCGAGGAGGAAACCCTTGCACAGAGGAGAGTGTCATTACGGAGGGTTGAAGAAAAGGTTGGGTTGCAGCACCATGAAGTAGCAGTGGCGAAAGGTGGGAACAAGACACGAAGCGCAGGCCGTAAGAGTGTGTGCGCGTGCCGCTCCTCTAGTCTGGCTGTGGCCTGAAAAAGACCTCTGCACCTCTAGCCTCTAGTTCGTCACAGATAAAGAATTTTTTTTTTTTTGCAGATATAACAGCAATAAAACTCTAACATGTCATGTACCACATGCGTACTAACAATAAAATACAGTAATCAAAAATATGCGACATATAATACCCTTGAAATACTGCAGATATGCAAGTCTTAAATATAAAAAAGAGAAAATAGAAAAAAAGATACAGAAACAATACTGGATGATTCGTATACCACAATGAAACAACACCTTCTCCAAAAACTAGTGAATATGTTACAGTCCAACTTTACCTACTCTTTTTTACACAATATAGATAAGTGACGATAAGTTATTTCGTCAAATTAAAATTTATTTAAATTGTTTTTAAGTGTCCATAAACTGACATCAAACTGCTAGACATTTTGGAATTCATTAACTAATCGTGTTGATTGGTGATGCAGCACTTGTTTTCCATAATTTCTCCTGGTTCTTGGGTAAACGCTGTAGGTTTCTTCTGGTAGGATAACGTTGGTCATTTTCTTTTTGTTTATACGACTTGTTTTTGTGTACCTCTTGAAGCAGTTTAAAATGATATATTTGGTTTGACTTTATCATTTCATGTTTATGAAAGAGCACTAAAGTGCACAAACCATTTATTCTACCCTGGTAACTTTTATAAGAGCAAATTATTTTCTGTTGTAACATTATAAGTTTGTTTTAACCTTTCGTTGTTTTCGTACCCCATATTAGTATGCCATAACAAAGTCTCAAATAGAATAGGGCATTGTAGAAACTTTTTCTTCAGCCACTGAGCAATGAGGGAACCAATTCTGTGCAGGCATCCTACCGTTCCCGCGAGTTGCCTAACTAAATGATTAACGTGGACGTTCTACATTAAGTCATCCCTGAAGCATACCTCAAGAAACTTAGTGTTTTTCTCGTTTTAAGGTGTTTCCATCAAAGCTTATTTTTATGTCATACACTCAAACCTCAATATAACAAAACTGCATCTTACACAAAAACAAGTTCGTTATATCTAAAAATTCATTATAAAGGTTTATTTTTAACACTATATCTCTTGCAAGACCTCTTTTCATATACTTCGATATATCCAATATTTCGTTATATCTGCGTTCATTATATCAAGGTTTGAGTGTATATAACTTGTTTATTTATTGGGCAAAATATAATATATGTCTTCTTCTTGGCATTTAACTGTAGCTCGTTTTGTTTAAGCCAGTTTTAGAGTGACGTCATATACTTATTTACATTTTTTTCTAGTGTTTCCATGTGCTTTGACTTAAAAACTGTTTTATGCCATCTGCATACATAATAAGCGGTGGTGAGGCGGGTATATATAGAATATCATTAACATAAAGCAAAAAGAGCAAAGGACCCAATACAGAACCCCTCTTTGGGTCAACTGAAGCTGACTAGATGTAGCTGTCTTCATTTGTGCTAGTTGGTACCGGTTACGCATAGTTTTCATAAAGCACAAAGGTGATCTCACGCATGCCGTGCCATGATAGTTTTCGTCGTAATATGTGATAGCGTATTGAATCAAAGGTTTTTGAATATACAGCAAGTGTAAATTTCTTATTTTCCATATTTGCAATTATTTGATCTTTATTAATTGTTAATGATTGTTCAGTAGACTTAATTTTTCTGAAAACCACACTGACATTTTGTGATGATATCATGCTTATTAAAAAAGGATAACAATCTGTCATGAATAGTGTCTTCAAAAACCTTTGATAATGTCGAAAGTACTGAAACAAGTCTATAATGTGAGATATTATTAATGCCATCTCCTTAATAAATTGGGGTGCAACCCTTGCAACTTAAAACTGTGCCAGAAACATGCCTGTTGTCAGTACAAGATTTATTACGTAAGCAAGCACCCCGGATATTAGCGAACATATCTTTAGTTCAGCAGGGGTAATTTCATCTGTACCTGGCATTCCATTGCTTTTAAATTTATTTAATAGGCTAGCTATCTCAGCACTGTCAGTAGGAAGCATAAAGATTGAATTCTGCATAGCTGTAGTTTCTTCAAAGCACGAGTCATCTTCGCTTCTAGTGCAGCTACTGTATGCGCCCGCATTGACGAAAGGTCGATTTATGGTACTGGCTAGGTTCTCGCCACGCAGCACTGTGATGCAGGTTCTTGCTGCTAATTTGTTTCTCTTGGGCTGAGCCTCAGAAAGTTTTGTTAATAAGGACAAAGCCGCCTGGCTTCGAACAAAACCCACACAAAAAAAAGTAATAGAAGGGTAAAAAGACAAAAATTCCCCACGACACTGAAACACCTAATAAACTGTTCATTGGATACGGTAAAACACTGAAAACGACGTCCAAAATGCAAGACAATTAACATAACTACGCTATTCAGTTCGAACCCAGGTGAGTCTCAGAGTAGTGCAAGATATCAGTTCGGTTTCACCCACACACTGAATTCTAGCGATGATGAGCAAACCGGAACGCGGTGGCTCCGGCCTTAAGACACAGGCTTGTCGGTGATGAAAGAACGCTGCAGCTAGCGATGCGTTCTGAAACCGGACCGGAACGTGGTGGCCCTGGAATTGGGAGTGGACATGTCGATGAGGAGAGAATGCTGGCTCTTGGTGGCGCGTCGAGGAAACAGGGTGGACCTGGCCAGGCAGCTGGACGCACAGCTCGGGCCCATAGCCAGACGGCTGTTGCTCACCTGACGGCACCGAAGTCCGCAGGCCCTGGGCAGGAGTTTAGGACCGGATGGCTGTATGGTTCCCTCGAGCGGGAACGCGACGACAGGAGGCCCCGGCCGGTTGAAGTCTTGGTGGCTTGGGTTCAACGCCTGACGGCCTATTTTCAGCGCCCAGTTTGGTGACGACCTTCCCATGCCCCCACCCTGTTAGAACCCTCCTGCTCTGCTCTCCTCAGGCTTCTCCTTCTGCTCTGGCCCACTTGTTCGGTCTTGATTGGAGATTCTACACTTTCGTGGTGCCCAGCCATTGGTCCTTGAAATATCCGTGTTGCTTTTCCATTGGATGTCTTTTCCTTTGTTTTACTGACGTCTCGCCAGCGTATCCGCGTGCTTTCGCTCTTTACATCTTCACCATCGTCTTCTTCTACCTCGGCCACCTTTCACACGTTCTTCAATATTTTCCTATTGCTCACTTTTTCAAGGCACGCACTTTAAACACGCACTCCACTTATCACAAGCACCAAGTTTCTTTCTTGCATTTCTGTGATATCATATCCTGCTTTCTTTTTTCCCAGAAATGGCATCCACTGTTTCTCAGACCTTTCTTGAGTTAGCCTATATGTTGTGAAATTTTTTTTTTCCTCATAAGATTGTGTAGGCTCATTTCGATACAGCCGCTCAAACAGAGCTTCGCACAGGGGCAAGTGGCCATGGCATTGGTGCTATACTCGCTCAGATACAGAATGGCATTAACTGCGTGATAGCCTATGCTAGAGTAGCCTTCTGTGGTAAACGGAAAAAAATTATTCCATCACTGAGCGGCAATGCTTAGCTTTTGCCTGGGCCATCGCGAAATTCTATTCATACTATGCGGACGTCCGTTCAGTCATCACAGACAATCATGCTCTTTGCTGGCTGTCAACACTTGAGGACCCTTCAGGAAGACTGGGCCGTTGGGCACTACCATTACAGGAGTACACGTTTTTGGTTGTGTACAAATCTAGCAAGCTGCACAGCTATGCCGACTGCTAACCCGACACCCCGTTGATTCACCCAGCTCCACCGATTTGGAATCTGATGCCTGCACCTTAGCCATCACTGACTTTCTGCACGTGGGGAACAAACAACACTAACACTAAGATCCATCGCCGCTCTCCATCACTGACCACCTTCAATCGAGCAATACTGACCCTTCACTTGGCAGATTCCTGCTTTAAGACAATATATTGTACCATTGCGACTTACACCCTTACAGCGTGAAACTTTTACTCGTCGTA